TAGATATTCTTTATAGACTTTTTTTTAGGTATAAGTACTCTTCGCAAGGTATTCCATGTGCAAACATTTTGAAATGCACACAAGGTGCGCATTGCTAATCACATTCAAATGCGAATAAATATTGAAAATGATTTCCGTTACCACGACAGAGCTAAAAATAGAGATTGGGTAATCCAATCCATGCCGATCTGTTCCAATCGGTTCGTAAGCCAACGATCGGTATAAAGCAAACCACAGGTCTGAAGGTCGCCAAAAACAGATGGAGCATTCCAAAAAATGGGTGAGACAGTGTACTCACACTTGAGTCACCTTATCTTATCACTGTCTTTGCATTTATCGCTTTTAATTGCTATTAATGAATGGGTATTATGACTCGATATGGATCTTGGCACTTGGTCATATAAGCTAAGAATTAGACAGCAACAGGCTATCTTGCTTGCTCCCTTAATGGGTCAATAAAATATGTCAAATGACGACACCTCCAACAGTTGGAAGCACCGTCAAATGATGAAGTCATTTCAGTAAATATTCTTAGCTCTACACACATTCAAATTGATAAGGCGTTGTTTAGGATCTGTGGCACTCAAAACAAACCGTAAATCATAAATTAAGGTTCTGAGAGCTAATTACGTTATTTAAAGTATATTATTTTTAATTGATTTGTGGACTATTTTACAGTTGATATTGAAATAAATCCATTGTTAAAGAATTTTAGTTATATATTGCCTTTGTTTTGATTATAAAATAAAGTTAGCATGGTCTTTTTTGATACTGGGAACAACCATTTTTTTTTGGTGCACAGCTGCCGACAATAAAGCTCTAATCAGTCTAATGCATAGAGAGCCTCAAATTAAATTGCATTTTTATTTAGCCCGATTAATCTATTACCCTATAGCAGCGATATCGACAATGACTGAACTTCGTCTTGTTTGCCATTTCAAAGTGTCAAGGCTGAGCTATATTTAGAAATACGAAAGGAAATAGCAAACGAGCGCAGACAGGGCGTATGTTAGATTTGCAGCTAATGTCATTAAGCATACGCAGGTTGACCCAAAGTTCCATCAACACGCAACTGAGACCACGTCAGAGGTCAAAAGGGAAAGGGGCCGTTACGTGTTTAACTTTTGTGCGAGACAAAGTTCACCTCAAACAACAGGAGAAACAGCAGTAAAACAATTTTACACAACTCACAGACAACGACGACCAGTCGGAGAGTTTGGGGCCTTTCGACTTTGGCCCGTTCGAAAACTCGTTTATCGATTGGCACTGGTCCCGAGAACCCATCGATTTTAGCTGTGTGAAAATGGGGTCTAGGCAGCCGAAAGCCTTACGCATCCCGCCCAAGGAAAGTTCCTGCCCCCTGCTTATTGATTTTTACCGAGGGTTCCATTCCTTATCTCCCTTTAATTGGCCTGCAAATATACTCGCCAGTCAGTTTGGTCGGCCTCTGTTTACCCTCGTTTGGCTTAAGGGTATTTGAACCCCGGGCCAATTGTTTTGACCACGCGTGAGGACCCTAGGAAAGGCCAGAGTTGCCAGGGAAACGCTTAATAATTTAGGACCTTCGCATTGATTTGTCAACGCGCTGCGGGGCAAACAAAATCTCGGAAGAATCGTAAAAAGTGTTCACAGTTCATAGCTCACTGTTTGTTTACTCTAATCATTTTGTTACTTTCTCATCAAAGCTTATTTTCAGAGGGAAAGCTTTGACCGGCAAAGGATGCGTTATAAGAGAGGAAAATGTAAGGAGAAAATAGGAAAATGTAAGGAGAGAAGAATAAAAAGAGAGAGGAGTGCGAAAGAGGGGTTGGAAAATGCAGCCGTCACATAAACAAAAAAAATATGGATAAATGTCTTTTAAATTTAAATTTTCGAAACATTTTTGCGTGTGCGTATTTTAGTTTGTATTATTTTTTCTAATTTATTTTGTCTATATTTATATTTTTTAACGCCAGATTTATTATAAGCAAGCATTGCATAATTCTTTATTATTTTCCATGCAATATCAATATCACAAGAACATTTTTTTTTAACTTTTTAAAATAAAAGTAATCTCAAAATAAAAATAGTAATAATTATATTATTTTATTGTCTATTAACTTTTGCAATTTTTTCTTAGTGCAGAATTTTCCTTTGCCTAGTTTTCGTGGCTTTCGCCAGCGTCAACAGCCTGTGACACAGTTTCCACATTTTGGGGTGGCTGCTAAGGGTGGAAAGAGATACTAAACTAAAAACAAGGGTTGGAGATGCCAAGCACGCTATTTTCCCCCTATCGCGCAGAGGATCGCCGGAACGTCTTTATAGACCCATTAGGAACACACCCAAAAAGTAACAACCAAGCCCAGAACTAGGCAAAACCCCAAGTCCTAAAGGGAATGTGGGATAAAATGAGGCGGATTTTGGGATACTGATTGTTTCACTTACCGTTTCATACAACGCAATTCGGAGATATAATTTGGTTATCCACAGGATGAGTGGTGTAATTTTTGTGGTTCGTGAAAATAAAAATAGATTGCGTTATTTAGAGTGAATTCACAACCGTAACCGCAATTTGCTCGTGTTATTTTTGTAGCCCTGTTTTTGCAACTTTTCGTCCGAAATTGGCTTAGTTTTCAGGTGTTCAGGTGTTAGGAAAAATTTAAAAAAGAAAATGCCCCGTGATTGATTAGTGACAAGAAGCGTATAAACCTTGGAATTTCTTAAGGTATTTATGTGTGTGGTAGGCACGTGAGCTAGGTGGCCAAAAAAAAAACAGTTTCAATAACTTCCAGAGCCAGAAATTTAGGGCCCAACCATTTCTCTGTGCAAAATGCAAATCAATGTAGGAGTGGGATGGGGAGAGGGTGGTGTCGGGAGGAAAAGCTTGGCACACATAGTAAACAATTTGTATTTTCTCTGTATTTTAATGTAGTCTACTCACACGGTTGACCGAATTTTAAAGGCCACGTTAACAATTAATGTTCCTATGAATTTCGATTTAATGCCAAAAAAATCAACCAAAACGTTGCCGATTATTCTCTTCTTAAAAATAATGCCGTTCCGTATTGAATTTCTTAATATTTTTGAACCATTTACCGGGCTTCTTCTTTTCGTTTCGCTAAAGCGAGACAGAAGAAAGTCGTGTTTTTCTTGCGATGATGAAATTCCTTCGTTTGTTATTATTCTTCTCTTTTTATGTTTTTATCACTTTATTCGTTGCGAAGATGACGATAAAGGGCGGTGAGAAAAAAAGGGAAGCGAGGCAATGCGAGTAGACGTGTGAAGAATTTTACAAACTTCCGTAAAATTAACTAAAAGTGGGAGATACAATGTAGCATTTGTTGAATTCGGCATTTAAATCACAACAACAAATATTAAATAACTTAAAATATTAAAGATTTGGAAAATATTGTTCTATATAAACTAATAAACTAATTTTTGCCAATATAATTTGAAAATTATATTAAAGTTATTAATCACTTTTTCTTTTTTTTAAATGTTTTATTAAAGTTTTAAAGAATTTAAATTGCTAAGTCCAATTAATTTAAATATAAATGGATTGAATCCTTTTAAGTCAATACAAAAATTTGTTGAATCTTTGAAGCCACTCAAGTTACAAAAGATACAATCGAGTTATTCAAGTTCGACTGTATTCAAAAAACTTCAATGTCGTGGGTTGCTTCCGCCTGGCTTTAAACGTTTTTTTGTTTTTGTTATTTTAATGCGATAAGAAATCGAAACACTCAAAATATGTATATTATTCGCTTTTGTTTGGTTTACACTGTAGCATAAGAATTTGATTTTTCTAGTTTTCACTGCCACGTTACTGGGCCACACATTCTATTTAGTAGCTGTCTATTCAAACTTGGCCAACATAAAATTTTTCCCAACCGCAACAACAACTACATATAACCACAGAAGAGAATCGGAGAGAGCCAAACAATCAGCTGTTTGCAGCATCAATGAGGAACGCTCTTTTGGGTACCATTTAATTTCGATTTAAGTTCGGCATTTCAATAAATTTATTTTCTGTAAAACAAGCACACACATACACTCGCACTCGCAGGTTATATGTTAAATTGTATTTCTGCAATGCTTTTTAAATATTTTGCTGTGGTACAACAAATATTTTTGCGGTTTGTTGCCAAATTTCCCATACACATCCATACACACGCGCGCACACTTAACGACTTTGCTTTCGTTTCTTTCTTTTGTTTTTTTTTCTTTGATGGGCACTAGAACAATAAGAAATGTTGCCGCTATTTAACTTGTTCATCCGCGAAACGAACACCAACCTTACTCGTTGAGTTTCAAAGAGAGAATGCTAGAGTGCCGAAAACCGCCCGCCAAAGCTTGAGAACAGAGTTGCCAGCTATTCACACAAATGGGCTTTTAGCGGGAAAAAGCTATTTTTGAACTACGAAATATATCGAAATTTGGGGAATATGTTTTTTTTTTTAAGTTAACACAATAATAAACAAATTATAGCTTATCTAAAAAAAATGGGAAATGTAGTTCAATTTCACTGAATAAGTTAGTTGTTAAATGCGATCAATAATGCATTAACAGAGAGAAGAGCCGATTTCGGCCTCACTATTTGGGAAGAAAGCCGAGCTTTAATATCGATAGCAACTGTTATGAAAAATATGTTGGTGTTTAGGAACTAACATAATTTAAGTAACAGAGCGCTGTACCGATTAAAAATTCAGCTTTCGTATATTTTTCAAAGTTATATCCCGAAACTTTGAAAAATTTATAGTTTTTGATATCGCGAAATTGAACAAGCTTAGGAAGTAAATATGCTTAGGATGGGGTTCGATTTTTAAAATGATTTATATAGAACGTAATCAGGTAACGTATGCATAAATTAAAAATGTTGAAAGAAAAGTATAATAATCCAGGAGGAAATTTAAAACTTCTTGAACAGCATCCAACTTTTCTAATTAATTGCTCTATGCGACTCCAGAATTCCTTCAATTTAATTAAATTTTATTTCCGAAATAGAGAACAAAAACACAGACTTGATTTTTACATACAAACGTTGCTTGTTTATTTCACTTTACGTTCTTTTGTTGAATATGCATATAATGTTTTGCGCTTTTATTCCGTCCCGATCGCCACCGCTATATAACTTACGCCCCTTAACGATCTAAGTGAATCCGTTGCTGATTTTTAATATATATTTTGATCTCGAGTTAATGCCGGCTGCTTCTTCGATTCGTCTCTTGTATGTATATTGAATATTCTGGTTGTATATAAGTGTATAATATATTTAATTTAATACATAAAAAGTTGCGCCCGCTGCAACGCACATCGATTTCCGCTTGCTTCGTTTAAAATAGTTTACGTGTGTTTAATATTAAATTGTTTCCATTGTTTTCGCAATGCAAAGATCATATATAAAAATACAAAAATCATAACATTTACATACACACCGGACCGTGTGTGTGGCCGCCATATAACTAGGTATTTCATATACTCTATATAATCATATATCGACGCAACCTCGCACAGTCAATATAAATTATTGTTAAATTACAAAAAATTAAAATGTATATATGCATTCGAATTATACACAACTACCACTCTTCCTTCAGTATAAATAAATTTTTGTCCACTTAATAAACAATTTCACTTCGTTATGCCTTAAAAACTAAACTCTCCTTTTCATGCTCCTGCCTGCTTTCCTTCCTATTCCTCGTTATCTGATCCACCTTTTTCCGATTTGCTTGGCCTGCTATCATTCAATAATTTCGCTATTTAGTCTTAGTCGTATATGGAAGTTGAATTGGTACGCATATGTTCAGGATCGGATTTTTCACCGAGTCTGGGGAGGAGTGTACAATATTTTAGTGGCTTTCCTTTATATATTTATAAGTATTATTTATGTGTATAATACGCAGCAGTCGATTGTTAATTTAGCTTTCTAATTTCGCTGTATAGATCGTATAGATCGCTGGATCGCAGGGATTATTCATGTGATACTAACGCTAAGTTTCTCGAGCTAAGTCTGAGTCCTGAACACCACGCCCAATTCCGCTTTGAACTGTTTTTGTTTATGTTTCTGATTTACTGAAGACTTGCTGGTTCTTAAATTGAGTGGTATGAGATCGTGTGCTTAGGAAAATGTCGTGGTTTTGTTTGAGGAAATGCGTGGAGAGTTTTCTTTTTATTTTTGTTTTGGGAGCATTGATGGATGACGTTTGTGGAATTGTTTTCGTTTCGTTTTGAGTCGTAATACTAGTTCCCTTTAGGTTAGGTTAATGAGTAGTCCATATATATTAAACCGTATATATATGCATGTTTTTGTGTTTGTGTATAGAGAGATACGTTCTATGTTTAATTACAAACGTTATTAATTTTGATTTTGGTACGAAACAATGGAAAAACCCTGGGGAGCATAACAAACTAAAAAGGATGAGGTGGGGTATGGAAAACAAATGAAATAGAGAGGGATTACGATATACCGAACATTGCAAGCAATCCTCTTGTTCTCACACTAAAATTGGCTTATAGACTTATGCAAAATAATGTACAACAGAGTTAGTTACATAACTTAGAAGTCGGTAAGCAGTTCTTCCCTTTAAAAATAATTACTTTGACTAAATTTCTTCTCCTCATCTGCATTTGTGTGTGTGTTTGTGTTAGCCTAGATGTTTTTGTTAACCTAGAGCAAGTGCATCATAAATATGCGTATCTATGCACATGCCACCGCCTCGTCGATCGATCGTCAACATTCTGGCAATGTTGCGAGCTTCGATCATCGAATACTTCGCGAATGTCTTAAGTTATACGCCCGGCTCCTGCTCCGCCTGGCTCCTGATTCTGATCCTGATCTTCGTCCATTTACGGAACGACAGCAGTTTTGGAAGTTCGGTAGAGCCTGGTGTCAGTTGGCGTTAAACGTGACAGTGCTTTGATCTATCTGCGATTAAACTCCGATTTGATAGCTGAAAAAAGTATAAATATTAGTATAATGTAGAAATTTTATTTGAGATTTTAATTATTAATGTGAATTTGAAAGGTGAGACACCATTTATTTGAGCATTAAAAATAACAAAAACGTAAATGAATACTCAGCTCTTGAACAAATATTTTAAGAACAAAGCTTTAACTAAGCTAAAGTTGAATAACATTGCAGTAATATGAAAAAATTGATTAGTCAAAACATTTATTTCACCAGTTCCTATTTATAAAATTTTATGATTCACTATTAAATTTCTTAATGTTTCTATGACAAATAAGATACGATTGAGTAGAAAAAAAAATTTAAAACTTTTTTGATTTTTTTTCTAGCTAAGAAGTTTGTGAAAATTGCAAAACAAAGAAGTTATGACTACTCTTGTATTCATTTTTTATAAATATAAACTTTCTCGCTTTCGATCTTATAATCGGTTTTTTTTAACAATTTTATGTAGTCTCTCTTATAGAATTTTTTTAAATCTCCACATACCATCTATGATCTCGTTTTTGACCTTCTGGATCTCCAGTCGCATTTCGCGTACTATCTCAGCCTTCAGTGTGTCCAAGTCGCCATTGGATAGCGCCAGTGACAGGCCATCGCCATTGACCTGCTTTAGAGATAGAAATTATAGACCTCTGATTCTGTGATTCTGATCTGGACTACCCACCTTGAGAATAGTCTCCTCGCTGGCGCTGCCGAACCGTTTGCGCATGGGTCGCGGGGACTCTCCGCCACTATTCGTTGTGTTGCTTCCAGCTCCACCCGAGCTTCCATTCGCTCCTTCATGGCCACTACCAGTCGATCCGCTGCCGGCGCCTCCGCTTAGCTTGTGGGGCAACGTGTTGGACTTCTCCCAGGGTCGCTTCTTGACCTCGGGCTCAGGATCGGGCTGAATAAGCCAACCAATTAATATAAAGGATTCTAAATAATTAAATAGAGGTACCTACCTCTTTTTTCTCGGCTTGGGCGCGTCGTCTTGCCAGCGTTTTGGCCATCTCGTCCATCATGGAGGCCATTCCATTGGAGCTGCGTCCGATAGTTCCATAATTGCCACTGCCTCCACTGGAGGTGCTGCTGCCGCTATTCTCCGGAGCAGATGTGGTGGTCTGTAAAAAAAAGGAATTTAATCAGGTTAAAAACTGAATTTCAGATCAAAATTTATTTTTGCATATTTATTTACCTTGTTCTTTTTGAGCTTGAACTGCTGCAGCTGTGAGGCTAGTGAGCCCATGAGATCTGCCTGGGGATCATCCTTCTTAGGCGCTCCTCCCAGTCCCGGCGGCGGAGGAGGTGGTGGTGGTGCTCCTGGACCGCCCGGAGCCGGTGGTGGTCCGCCTCCCATGACTGGCGGCGCCGGTGGAGCCGGCGGAGGGCCACCTCCGCCCATGGCTGGTGGCGGCGGTGCGCCATTGAACATCTGAGGCGGGGCTGGCGGCGGTGGGCCTCCTCCAACAGCTCCCCCAAAGCTGGGTGGTGGCGGGGGCGGAGCGGGAGCCGGTGGGCCACCCGGACCACCCTGACTGCTCATGCGATTGAGCGGCACCTGACCGGGCTGCTGCTGTTGCTGCGACGGATTCATGGGCGGCGGCATGGGCACCTGGCCGTAGGGGTTCTCCGCCTGCTGCTGGGGCGGCGGCACTGGAGGACCTCCATAGCCGGGACCCGGCATCGCCGGCGCCTGAGGGGCCTGCGGATGCGGCTGCGGGAGCATCTGCTGCTGGCTGGCGTACACTACACTATTGGCGCTCGCGGAGCTCGGAAGATGGCCATGGCCCACCATGTACATGCCACCGTTTTGAAGAGGCGGCTGTGGAGCCTGCTGCTGCTGCTGCTGCGGCTGCTGCTGTGTCGGGTATTGGTGCACAGTGAGATTGGGATTAGAATTGGAGAGCACGTAGTGGGGTTGCTGATACTGCTTGTGCGGGGGTTTCGGGGTTTTCAGGAGATTCAGATTCAGGATCAAGCCAATTTGCCAATGAAATGAAACAGAAATACCGCATGAGGACTCTGGGATGGGGTGAGGCTTTAGCATCTGGAACTCACCTGAGAGGGCGCATAGCCCGCCTGAACCTGGACCATTTGCTGATATTGCTGTTGCTGCTGCTGCTGAAACTGTTGCTGCTGTGGCTGCTGCTGCTGCGGTGCTGGCGGAATCTGTGGGTTGACCTGTGGCGGCAGGCCATTGGAAGTGGGTCCATTGCCAGTGGGTCCGTAGTGAGATCCCGGTTGACCCATCTGTTGCGCCTGCTGCTGCTGCTGTTGTTGTTGTTGGGGCTGCGGTGCCGGTGGGGCGCTGAGGGAATTCCTTTTTGGGTGAGCAAAGGTTCGACGAGGGATGGGGATGGATCAATGAGTGATGAGAGATGAGACACGGATACGAAGATAAGCGTTGGATGGTGTTGCTCATGCGTGAGTGAACAAACAAATAGTTTCTAACTAAACTTAATATTAGCTTATATATTTGTATAAATAACTGATGTCTACTGGCCCTATATTACTTCATTTATTACTCGCGATAAAGATAACAGAAAATATTTAATGTCAAATTTTGTTTCTCAATGTTTTGTTTATTAAAATCTAAAAACAAAAAGCCATAGGTATTGTATTCAAATTACAAAAAGAGATGGTAATTAATCAATTTATAAAAATAAAAAATCTAGTTTGGAATGTTGAGAAGATGGTTATTCTATTTCTAAATTAAAGTTTCCCTGAATCATTCTCAACAATAGTTTTCTAACTAAATCCAAGTTAATGGGTTTTCCTTTATAATGAGCATGGCGTATCCAACACAATTAATGGAACTGCAGCCTACCTGCTGGTGCGATGATGACCCTGGGGCGTCGGTGGGCTCTGGGGGATGCTATTCTGGTTGGTCTGCGAGGTGGGCGTCTGAGCCGAGGGCGTGACGTGGCCACCTATGCTGTTGTTCTGTCGCAGAATGGCCGCATCCTCGCTGGTCATCGTGCGATAGCCCATATCCTCCTCGTAGCCATTTCCATTTGTGGGCGGTCCACCTGGATTGTTAGCCACGCGTCCGCTGAGCACCTGTAAAAGTATATTCAAGCATTAGAAAAGAGATCAGTGATTCATACACAAGATTGACTTACTTCCAGGGCATGCATCATGGCCCTTGCAAAGTTCTCCGCATCATTTTGGCTCGAGAAGTTCAATCCGTAAACGAATTTCGAATCGCGCCACTGATGAAATGTGGCCGTGGCCTGGTTGTACTTCAGTCCCTTCAGAATGGAGCAATTGATCACCACTTCGTGATCCTGCAGTTTTCGCCCCACCACTCGGAAGGTGTTGTTCTGCTGATGGTGGTAGATCTGCACCTTGCTCAGTCCTGACGAACTGCCCGAGGGCACCCACTTCTTCTGGTTGTCATCGTACACCATCACAGAGGCCCTGGCCCCAATTATACTCTGCTCACTGAAAAAAAAAATTATGCAAAATGTGATTAGTTGTGTGATTTTAATGTGGAATTTAGGGATTGAATGAGAAGATGATGTGAGTAATATTAAAAACATCAAACGATCAGAAATATAAACCCCTCCTTTGGACCAAAACAAAAAAAAAAGAACAAAATTGAAAGAAATTAACAGAACTTCATTTGATTGCTTCAGTTCGGCAGAAATCTTTTCCTTACAGTTCTAAACACTTTAAATGAATTTTTATCATCAACATTTTTTATAAATGAGAATGTCTCAAGAATGATTAATAATAAACATTTTCTGAACCTAATTTATCATTTATGTGTCTTTTTGTAAAACCAGAAAGATCGTGGGAAACAGAGCGGAAGTTGGACTTTTAAAGTCTCCAAAGACGGTCAATTTATTTAAAAAACTCTAAAATAAGCATAATAAAAGAGATACCAATTTGTTGACATTGTTTTACATTGGCTGTAAAAGTTCTTTAAAATGTTTATTCTAATTATATGAGAAATAAATTATGTTATGCTAATTACAGAGTAGCTATTTGAAAGTATGTTCTGCGCAGTAAAATGTATACAATGTATTTTAATAGGGCTTATCCGAAAGGATGTATGAGTTCATAGAAATTGACTTGACGACTTAAAAATAACTTTTTAAACTCGATTAAGACTTCCCAGAAAGAATGTCGCAATGAGAAATCGTTTTCAGACCATTAGATCTGCTCTATAGTGTTTTCCCCTGTAAACCCACTCCACTGCGCTTTACTTCACCGTGATCTTCCACAGTTTTCACACGACTCGAGTGAGTAAGGGCTTTGATCTATGCCATACCCCTTCTAATCCCCCCAAGTTGCAGGACAGGAAATGCAATGCATTTCTTTGTATGCTCACACACCTGTCATGCAGTAGTTGATCGTCTCGAGTCGCACGGACCGATTAAATGATTCTAATGAAAGTTCTAATATGAACGTATTCTCTCAACCTTTAGCATTTTTTATCCGCATGCTGTTGACAATTAAAGTCAGCCACAACGTAAACATGGCCAGCTACAAATGAACGCCTTCATTGGAAAAATGCAAAGGCGATGACGAGTTGCCTTGCCTTTTCTCAACTTGGCTGTGTTTCTATCCTATAGCTCCGTTTTTTCTGTATTTTTTGCTGGCCTGCACCGCTCGAAGTTGCTCCGAGTGGCTCCCAGTTGCTGCGAGTTGTGTGTTACTGGGGGACAGAGAGATAATGACAGAGAGCAGCCGCCAAACGAGTCGAGTCTGCAGAATTCTCGCTTCAGACTTAGCCGGGCCAAAAGCCGCGAGTAGTTTTGCACTTAAATGGAGTGCGCAGATCGGTGGGACGGACACTCGGACGGACGAAGCCCAATCCGAATCCGAATCCAAACTCTGGCCACAGCTGTGCGCCGTTTCAGGGCCTTATATAACAACTGACAGATCAGAGCTAAGTCTTATGAGCCTGCCTGCTTCTGCGTCTTTGATTTGCATCGAATTCGTGGCAACGAAAGTGAAGTTTTTGCACACAGTAAAAAACAGCATAACAATAGCGGTCAATCAATTTTTAAATTTCTGTTTTTACTATGGAATCGATTTCAATCTTTTAAATTGGATACTACATATCAAATAATAATTAAAGGAAATACGATTTTCAAAAAAGAAGTGGTTGAAAGCATTTTTTTTGAACTCATTTAGTATTTTGTTGATAAGTTTTTGCGTCTACTTTTTAAATTAAAATACTAGAGTCAAATCAGACACAGTTTTTATAGACCAGATCATAAGCGTACCAATTGTTTTAGTTGCAATTAGTAATACGTTTTGTGACTCATCAATGCAAATCTTTCGGTCATTTTTGCACGTAAAGCACGTCTTAAACGTGGTAAATATAAGACTTATACTGGTATCTCATTTTGGATCAATGATTGGCATTACGATTTTATTTAGCTAGATTAATAATGGTCAACTAATTATAAAAAATCGTGAACCTTTATTAAGAAAGTAAAACTGAAAAAGGAGACTATTTAACGTGTTGGAACTTTGCTGAAATAGGTTTTACGCCGTGCATCTGGATGGAAAACCCTAATGAAAATCGAAGTGTCCAACAAATGAGCAGCAAAATAGGATGCTGAGGGTATGCCTATAATTGAGCCACTGCAAAACGCTCTGGGAGTATTTTCAATATGTGGCAGGTGAAATTTTCCATGCCCGAGGGATTTATTCGTGCGTTAAGCTCAAGTTTTGAAGCTGCAGTCGAGTGGAGATGCAGATTCGTGTGCACACGAAATCGTTTTCCAGCTTAATTGGCGTTAAATTATAATTATGATTAAACGGAAAGTGAGGGGAGTGAGTGTTGAATGTGGGGCTAAGAGTTCTTTGATTTCTGACCGATCTCGCTGAGCGGCTAAAAAGAAAACGAAACAAGCTGAAAAACGCATTTATATCCAGGGCCGAATACTACGTGCTGAGAGTGAAGAATTTAAAGAGAAAAGTGGGAAAATAGGGGGTTATTACAGAACCCAAGGACAGGCGCTTAGGGAAGTGGGTTACACATACGCAAAAATCGTTGTAATGCCCCCAATGAATTTATCTTTGACCGAATTGTGGCGACGTTGTAATGTGTGATGTAGTTTTTGCTGTTGCTGTTGTTGTTGTTGGAGCAGATAATGATGTATGTTGCTATAGAGATGTTGCTTGTGTTGCTGCTGTGCCTGATGATGTTGTTGTTGTTGTTGTGTCGGTGATGTTGCTGCTGTCGCCGTTGTTGTTCTAATTGAAAACGACATGGAGCAGCCCAGTTTGGAGGGTTGAGTTTTCGAGGGTTGGTTCAGATTCACTGAGGGATTTGAGGGCGAAACGCATTTGCGCAAAGTGGAAAAGATCAGAGAAGAAGAGGAGGATGGGGATAAAGTTAGGGTAGATGAGCTGGCTATCGATGTGGCTGCACTTGATGAATTTCTTTGAGTTGCTGTTGGTACATACAACATCTGATCCTGCTGCTGTTGCTGTTGCTGCTGCTGAGATCTCTGAGGCGCCTCATAGATGGGTCCTGTCTTTGGACTAGCCTTGGGTAACTGCAACACCAACTGCTCATGCTCATGGTAGCGTTGCCTCAACTCCTGCTGCTGATAATGGTGATACATAGGGTGGCGATAGTCTAGCAAATCCAACTCCTGCAGCTCCTCTATGCTATAATACTCCGACTTTGAGCCTAAGCCACCGACTGGAGGCGACATCTTGTGATGCATACTCTGGCTGCGGCGGATCAGCTCCCCGGAATGGCCAGGAGCCACCTGAAATTCGCACATGCCATTTCCCGGCTGCTGGTGGTAGGCCAAAATCGGCGAGGAATTGGCGGCACTCGACGGCTTCTTGCTGGTGAACGAGGTCTTGGCATAGAGCTTCTTCATGGCCATTAACCGTTGGCCAATATTTGCAGAGGCGTCACAGACACTAAGCAGATCCCACGATCGATCCCACACGTAAACACACGAAGAAACCGAACGATCGGATATATCGAATTTATGTTTGTCTAGGCTCTTGGCTCTTGGCTCTCTGCCTACTGATCACACCGTTGGCCGATCTTTGCACACGTCCGAACTTACTCAAGACCCGCTGGAGACTAAACCCATGATCCAGACCGAGATCGAGACTGGGTCTCAGACCGAAACGATCTCTGAGTCGAGGCCAAGACAAACAAAGCCGAGGGGGAAAAACGCGAATGAGCAGACAAGAAGTGAGTGGAAAAATGAGAATCGACTCACAATCTTTATTTTTCTCTCATTTTAGCGGCTGCTGCGCTTTGAATTCGTCTAAAAGGCAAATAATTACACTTCAAAGTCAATAAAATAATGAGAAATGATGGGATGTGCTATGGCTGTTGAGCTGGAATGACCCCAGAGATGGGAACCAAGCATAATGGCCAGGTAGATGGAGCACAACCTGACTCACAGCCTAGCCTCTAAAGAAGATTCCCAAATGGCATGACAATTAAAAGATGAAGGGAAGTAGTCTGCATAGAGACTATTAAAACATTCTCTTTTTACACGATTTTGTACATTTTGTTATTGTATTGGGGGCGACATATCGATAGCATTATTCGAAATCCTACACTTTAGAAAATATTACTTCTGAAGAGTTTGAACCATCATTTTATATTTTTAGAACGGGCATATACCAATTACAAAAGCCACCTATTATCATATAACGACTTCTAACGAAAACGGCGATCGAAGGCTCTTAAAATAAAATGTTCTATCAAAAAGTCTATATACCATATAAAATATATTTCCTCTTAAAAATATCATACAGTTCCAAAGGGTATACGATAAACGGTCGAAATTTACAAAGTTGAGCTTGGGGCATTTCTGCTGGCAATCTTTAAGCCGCGACTACGTCTCGTGATCGTCGCTTAACCAGTCCGTCAGTCTGTCCGTCCGTCCACCTGTCCATCCGTCAGTTAGTCATTCGGTCAGTTTGTGATTCAGTCTTGGTTCCGTCCGACAGTGCGATAATTACTTAAGAAACGAGCTCAATAATTTATATTTCCCCCTCGAGTGACTATTACAAGTATTTTTTCCTCTGCGTTTTTTTCCCTCCATTTCAACTGTTCTTTGGCGGCGAAAAGCGGGGACTAAAGCGGGAAAACGTGGGGAAAACGTAGTGTACAGCTTGTAGCATGTTATGAAAAATTCATATATAAAATAGTAAATCTCAACTTGGAGCTCCTTAACTCTGAGAGCACTGAGTCTCTGTTTCTGACTCGGTTTCTGTTTCGGTTTTTGCCCCTTAACAATTCCTAAGCGTAATTTCCAATTAACATTATTGTGGCCCATTGTAAGTGGTTGTGTAGTGGTTGTTGGTAGTTCAGCGATCTCTGATTTGAGCCGGCCGATTATCGTCTAGCTTTAATGGCTCTGTCAGAATGGTTCAGTTCAGTTTTTTTTTTGGTCCAGAGCGTGTGCCGCGGCTTAAATGATTTGGCAACTAAATATTTCTCTGGTTTCTTAGGGGCAATTCGAGTGCGAGTACCATAATCCATATGGCTGTCCGTAAAGACCCGCAGGCAGACGTCGGACAGAAAAAAAAAAATAAAAACAAACAGAGCCCACACATGTGAGCAGTCGGAGTCACAAAGTAGGTTGCCAGGCAGCCAGGAGACTCAAAACGGTTTGCCCAGGGCAAACATCGAGAAGTGCTGGGGGGAGCATGGGGGTCTCAATCAGTATCGAATATCACTGCGCGATAAACTCGTCACGGGAGGAGCGCTTCCTGCCGAGAATACACTGAGCGATTACACAATACACCTCTGTAAATAGTGATTTATTTTTAAAATGGTAAATTTGTTGGTAGTTTAATACAGAAATCAGTATCAGATGCTCTTAACAACTCTATGCTACAACAACTGAAGGATGGATTAAGTTGCTTTAAAAAAGCTTTTGTTATAAATATGCAAACATTTTCTAAATTGAAAACTTTTCTCTCAGTATGGCAGTCACTCATAAAGCCCGACAAAGCCTGGATTTGGGTCACACTCCAGCACCTCCTCCTCCCCAACCTCCTTATCCTCCGGCACAGGTGACGATAGGTTGGGATCCATTCAGCTTATTGAAACCGACTTCAATCAAGCTCGAAGCCAAAAGGATTAAAGTTGGATTCCGACGAGGCACTCATATTTACTTATGTATATCCACATTCGTGGTGACTTAAACTCAAACACAAATAATGCGCGGGTAAACCGAAACTCGTTTCGTTCATTGCTGGCAAACGGGAGGAAACTTTTTCTATGGTCCGCCAACACATATGGCGTTTTTCGATTTTTTAGAAACAGTTCTTTTCCCAAAAATCGTTTTGATTAATGCACTCGATAAGCCAGTAATTATGGCGCTGCAATTAGGGATCACTTCACTGATAGATGCATTTAATAAACGGGCGCCAGATGCATTCTGCCCCTCACCTATTCGGCAGACACCCCTCGAGCGGCTCCGTGGGACAAATGTTACCCATTGAGCGGCGAAATTTCAACTGGGATCCCAAACGAACTGGACAAATTCAGGGGAAAAGCTGCGCGGAAATTAAGTTTAAAGCACTCGCTGGCTTCGCTGACCGGATTTCCTTGGAGACAACATTTTAATGATGACACACCCAAAAAACTAAATAAAACGCAAACTTGCAACGTTTTTGCTTATTCACAATTCATTTATCGTGAGGGGATGGTGTTCTACCAGGTTTTCAGTAAGCAAACTCCCCAAATGGGAAGCCGCACCCCGCTTTTAGACCAAACAAATTATGGGGATTAATAAACGAGGAGCTAGCTGCTCTACTTCCCCAAAATTAACCCCCCATCCCTGGGGAACTGGGCTTGGGTTTGCCATAAATTCGAGCAAATGAGCTTCCAAAAAGGTCGACCCATAAATTTCATAGACATCAATTTCGAGGTGTCAAGCAAATGAACTTATAAAAAATGTTAGGGTATGAGTAGTAATATGAATTTACACCTCAATTGAATGAAAGTTAATCAAATTATAAAAATGTTTCTATTTTAGGCATTTCTTTGTATGTCACATTAGGTCTAAAGAGGTGTTTTAGGTTATCAACAACTCTTAAACTAAAATGTTCGAAACAAATAAATCCTATAAAGGTTGCCCCATAAATGTCATAGACAGGCACTTTTAAGGTGACAATCAGACTTTAAGAAAATGTGAAGCTCAGAGTATATGTGAATTGAACTCAATTTGAATGAAAGTCAGAAATTGTCGTTTGTCTAATTGAAATGTCCTTCACAAGCGATTGACAAGAAAACTTGTATCTGGCAGATACGTAAGTGAGTGTTGTATCAATTCATTGTCAAATGTTCTGGCCGTGTAAACTTACGTCATTGCAATTTGGTTTCTGTTGTTTTCCTAGCTGCTTCAGCTGTGGTTTCTCTTCGGTTTTCTGCTGTGGAGGGAAATTCGCTTCCAGAGTTCTGCTTTTCCAAGGGTATGAGATCTGCAAGACCGGAAAAGAAGAGGATACAGATATAGATACGATTACAGTTTTAGCTCGTAAATCAAGTGCAGGCACACGTGTATCCCACAGATACCACTTCTTTTGGTGGGAAAATCAATGAGAATTTCCCCCCTTTTTCCTGGCAAACCATGTTCGCCAATTTCCTCCAGCCAACGAGGGGAATTGGAAAAGTTGTCGATTCTCTTTTTTCCACTTTACTTGCTCCATTGAAAACTAATCGAACAGCCCTTTCGGTGGTCCTTTTTCTGACCGAATGGGTATGAATTGATATTGGCCAAATCGTTTTGGCCACATCGCACACAATATTTTATGAGGCATTTGCGTAATGAGGCAATTGCTTTGAAAGCAGTCCAAAAAGGTAAAAAGAGAAAGAGGAAAAGCACACAGGTCAACGAACTTGGAGTGAAAAAGTAATAAACTTAGTTTTTTCTTGAAAACAGCTACCATCGATAAATCGATATTTTGGAACCTTGAAAACCGCACCAGAATAGAACCCATCAATTAACCATGGCCAGCAGTGAAAGCTTTGCTGATGAATTAATAACCCGCGCAGAACAATCAACTCGGAGGAATCAGAGCCAACCTGAAACGAATTGCTGGACTTTTTCTTTCTTTTTTTTTGGGCAATGACAAAAGACACAAGTCATAATGGAAGCCGCAATAAACAAAAGTAAAATGAAACGAGGCATTTGCATTTTAGAGGAGGAGAAAAAATTAGGTCAGCGCTCTAGAGAAGATCTGGGCCGCCCCTCGCAGCCACTCCCAGCGGCAACATCTTGGGCCAAGAATTTTGACCTAGTTCTCCCCACTCCCCGAACCTTCCCTAAAAACCCCTGCTTGCGTCATAAAGTTCCGCCTGGAAAACCTTCATTCAAAAGCACGCACTTGTAGTTTTTTTTTTACCCGGAAATGTTGATGCACCATTGCTGCATAAAAAAGAAGGGGGAGTCGGGTGACTTTTTTAATTGGAAAATGTTTGTAGAGGATGAGTTACCCCTGTTAATGGGCCAACATTTTACCAGTTAATTTTCGCATATTCCAAAATAATAGAAAGCCATTGAAGGCCAACCTGAACTAAAAGAGGGGTTCTGGGTGGTAGGCGCACATGTGCCGCTTCCCCCTGCCCAGAAAACACCCACCCACCCCCGAAAATGACGCCCCTGGGCAATTATCCAAAATAAAAACCTGAACAAAATAAAACAAACAGAGAGACAGAGAGAGCAAAAATTAAAAACAAGTGAAATATTTGGCACTCAGCAAAAAGGGAGGTTACTGAATTGAGGGTGTGGGTAAGGGTGGTTTGGGACAGCAACCCCTGGCCAGGAGTTTACAATTTATATTGGCTCTCTGCATAGAAGGGAGGAAATTCTCTAAAGGACCAAATTTCTTATATAAAGTGGTTCGTGAGACATTTGCAATGTTTTCGGCTCAAATTTCGATGTTTAACCCGGTTGAAGGGTGGCTACTGCATATATCGGTTGACAAATCACGTTGTTTATGTTTATTACGTTTGCCTAAACAAACTCGTATCACAATATTATTTACTTTTAGTAATGCTACAAAAATAAAATGTTTTGCTCACTTGCGAGTTCCTTTGGAGCATTTCCAAGAACT